TGCTGCCTATCTGTCTGCCCTTCCGGCGCAAGTTGTCTACATGGCTGCATGACCACTTTAGTACAAGTGTATGTATGAATGTAGGCAGGCTCGCTGGAATTAATCAAATGGAGAACGTGGTAAGTCATGGACAACGCACAGCCGACGTAACAAAATCACAACCAAAATTTAAAGAGGAAAAAGAAACACAAAAATGTTCTGAAATTCAGATATTCGAAAATCAATTCATTAAATTAACACCAGCTGCCAACCAGTTAGCCACCAGCTAAAGCACATATGGATCTGTTTGTGCTGAAATACTCGTACTAAAAACATAAACCGAATGAGGGAAGAGGAAAAGTGCGTAGCCGTTGCTTGGCACTTTAAGCTTTGATAAAGTAATACGATTCTACTATTTTTTTTAACATATATTTCATAACTTTGTTGTTGTTTCATTCATTAATAAATCTGGATTACCCAAAGTAAATCAAATTTCATAGTGGGACGAGCTGCCTAGTCTTTGGAGCTATGCACTATATTTATAGATATATAGGGACATACACGTACACATGTATATAAGTTACATACAGTTGTGCAGTTGCTTGACCGGTGCAATTCATTGAGTGATCCATTCATTCATATTCACAAAATTTCGTATGATCTCAGCCTACAAAGGAAGCCAACTCCAGAGGAAATCACTTTTTGTTTGGAGAACCTGTTCGCCTACAGTGAAGAATAAAAAATAAATTTTATTTCTGTCAAATTGGTCTAGTAGCGGTGTGGTAGATATGTTTGTAGTAGGTAAATGTGTGTGGGCGATATGGTATAAAGTGGAGATAATAATTTTATTTAATGGAGGCTTAGTGCGCTACAAGCAATAAAAGCATAAAAGCCAGAGAAAAAAATGTAAAATAAGCATCTGATTTCAAGCGTAAAAATATTAAGTGGCAGTATAACCTGTCTTCTGCTTCGTTTTTTTTTTTTTTAAATAAGACAACGAATATTTTTAAGCAAATTTGTATGTATATACAATACAAATGTACATAAATATGTATGTCGTATAGAGATATATTTTCGGCTGTGGGTCGAAGTGAAAATTAAGATTTTCCAAACCTCTTCCATTAGCGGATGCAACGAATTGAAGGCACTCTCAACTGAGAGTACAGGCAGGTGTTCTTATTCAAGAAAGGGCGCTCCAGCAGCAGAGTATGTGAATCACTCGAATCTCACTCAGCTTCAGTTGACACAGTCGGCAGGTGGTGTCAGTGGCTCCCGATAGCGGCGAGGAAATGTAGAAGATGAAATCTAGCAATAACGCTGAAATTGTTGGTATTGGGAAGAATAAGTGCACTGCAGTTCATATATCGCTACTCTAACAGGTGAAGCGACTAGAACTACGTTGGCCGGCGGTGCTCAGGGAAGGACTACCTGACATAGTAAAATAAGGAAACCGATGCTACCGTACTCGCGCACAGCCAAAGTAGGGTTTAATCCAAAGCTAATGGAATCTGGAGTCACACCGGAAGGAACGCTAATGAGTTCATGGACAAAAGAGTGACTTGCCACATCGTCAGTACGCCTTAAAAGTTACATGCAACGAAAGAAAATTTAATTATATAACACTGTGACGATCGTCTATGGGCTATAAACCAAATATTATTGCCATTATTCGCATTCGGAAATCGCCATGGTGACGTCATTCGATGACGAATGCCACAAGTACTGCACACATAAGCTCTTTTGAAAAATATTACTCCGAAATTAATTGATAATTGAAATGTGAGGAGATTATAAATTTCTATTAAACATCCATTGTGCGCAATTACTAGATCAAGCCGGTAATAAAATACAAAAGCAAAACAGACACACACAGTTCTATCAACCGAGCGATATAATCATTTACGGGCTGCCGGCGGGTGGACAGTGCACCATCGCTTTGGTAGATATGTATGTAAATATGTATGTACATAGGTGCATATGTTCATGTACATATGTACGACTCGATTATTTCTCCGAATGCATATCAGCAAGATCGAATGAGCGAGTACTTTTATATGACGGCCGCTCTAATTGTGCTCATCGTTCATATGTACATACGTAAGTATGTAATTGTTCGAATGTGATTTCTGTGCTTATAAATGATGAACGCCCTACGTTCCAACGGCGCGGCGCGGCTGCTCATTTCATCTGAACAAAATCGTCAATCATCTAATATATATGTATATATACATACATATGCATATACAATACATATACATATACATATGTGTATATAAAAATGTTCAAATGTAGCCAAACAACGTCAGAAGTGGTCGAGCTTTGTACTCGCCAAACAATCCTAAATCGTCGTCATCAGCGTTCAGCTCACCATGCCGCACTTTCTCTTGTATTGCACGTTTTCACATAAAACGTCGAGTTTCTAGTTGGAGATGCAACACCGAACGGAACATACACACTGTGATTAAGTTTTATGCATAAATATTGTCAATATGTCAAAGCCTCGGTGACTCGTAAAGACGTATATATTCTTATATATACATATAGCTTTATACCCACATCCAAGCTGAACTTGGAAACAAAAGAATTATTTTATCTACAAGCAACGCCCAAGGAAACCCCGTAAAAACGTCGGGTAGCTTTGGAAAATCTTTGAAGAACGTTGGGTAGACAAATTGGCTCCATTAAATAAACATAAAAATGAAATGAAAAACCACGTGGAATCTAGTAAAATGGAGTGTGAAGTGTGAAAGAACTTAGCTCGATCTCTTCGTTGTTGCTTCTTTTCTTTATTCGTTATAAGATTTGCCTCGCACACACACGCCTCTAACTGCCGTGCAATAAAACGCTTTTAAACTGTAAAACGTCGAAACCAACAATGCCATAAGGCAAGCGTCGCCAAATCCGCCCAGTTAAGATTTTCTCTTGGCTTAGGAACTTTTTGTCGGAAAGTTAATTTTAATGTATTTACACCTTTATTTTATTGAATATTTTATTATTTTTGCGGAAAAAAGGGAGATCGCATGGAATACGACGGCATGAAAAGCACTTCGAGCCCCGTTTTATTGCCCAACCGGCCGTGTGGCATCTAATCACCACTCGCTACTTCACATGTGTTCGGGTGTTCCTGTGTTCGTATGCCTTGTTTGTTGTGTGTGTTGTGTTTGTCGTGTTGGTCAAGCCAATGTTTGTGCAGTTACTCGTAGTTGGGGCATGGGAGACAGCTTGGCCACACTCGACATTACGGAAATGAAATTAATAATGAGCAATTTAACGAATGTGCGCTCGCGGCATTCATTGCCTTAACACAACGATGGCGAAATGTTATTAGATACATATACATACATAGATATGTATGTACATATGTATGCATCTATGTTCATACATACATATAAAAACAACGAAAGCAATAACAAAAGGAAAAAAAATGAAAGAAAAAACAACAACAGCAACAAAAACAGTTGTCTGCCAGTTGCTAAGCCATTGGTGCGTCCATGTATAAGTATGAGTGTGAGTGTGCGGTAGAAAACTTGTCATGCTGACGACAAACTGTCTGTCAAGTCCGACAATGACAACAACAACAATAGCGCTACATATAATCATACAGACATGATGCTCAAAGCTATTGTTCCCATATGTATGTATGTTTGAATGTTTGTATATATTTAAATGGGCACTAAACAGCTACGGCCAGCCGGCAACAAGTATTGTTAGTACAAGTTCGACTTCCCGCCGTGTACGCACAATCATCTGGGACTTCCCAAATGTCCGCATTGTTAATGCGCGCTGAAATGAAACGCCAAGCGCAGAGCCGAACTGAGCGTCGGTATGGACACAGGTCAATACGAGTGTATGGCTTGACAGGAAAGTCATGTTTGCAATGAAACTGCACATTCCTCCGTTATGTCCTGCTCAATGTGTGTATTTGCCGTTCAACAAGGCGTGACTTATGTTTCAACTGTTTACAGGTAACACGAAATACGGTAAATACAGTAACAAAGATTACGCTAACATCAGTTTGGTATTCAATTTGGGAAAATACCGCAATTATGCCCACGCAGTAACAAAAGAAGGATGGCGTGTATAGAAAATATAAGGACGGAGAACAGCTGGGAATTCCAACATTTAAATATTTGAACACATGTTGGAATTAACTAGGTTTAACCTGAACATACATATGTATATATGTGCATACTAACAAACACCCAACGTCAGTGACTCGATAACTCAGATTTGAGGGCACAAACCTAGTTAGCGTGGGGAAAACCTTAATTTTTTTAGGTGAAAATTTAAAGCAAAGCCAAATGTACATGCATATGTATGCATGTGTTTTTGATTTGTTTACGAAAACGCAAGAAAAGTTCTAAATTCCCGTCCTTGTATCAAAATCCGCAATAACTTAAGAAAATAAAAATTGTCCAAGGAACTTTCTGAATGAGGCTTACATTGGAGACAACGGCTTGCATATCAAAAGCATAGTACGCCTATACAAAGTGTAGATCCACTGAGATGGCGCTTCACTTGCTAACCTTAAATATAGAGAGAGCGCTAGAGCATGAAGAATACACAAAAGGAGTCTAAGAGCACTTAAGTGGAGCATTGAGCAATGCATCGAATGACGCAATCATTAATAGTCTAGCCTAAAACATATTAAAAATTTTACATACACGCATACATACATATATACAAAAAATTTAATAAAATTATTTGCCAGAAAATTCCCTTTGTTATTTAATTAAATCTGCTTGCGGTTGTTGCGAGGATTATAAGAAGGAATTATACAAAATTATTTACGAGAGGCGTCAGAGATTGTCATAAAATCTCAATTCATTTCCAAAGAGAAAATAAAATCGGATAAGCAAACTCAATCTGCAGTCGTTGATCCTAGAGTTCATCTGAATCCCCCCCCCCCCTCTCCTTCTTCCGGCATCTTATGTCATGCACTATTTTATACAAAACATGAAATGTTTATAATTCTGGAAATATGCAACAATATACATATGTATGTATGTAAATGCACTTACCAACTGGTCTATTGTTTCGACGATTGCCCACCGTTTCTTCAACCATAAGTGGCGCATGCCGTCGGCCGCTAACGAAAGTTGGCGTTGTACAGATCAAAACGGCAAATATGATGAATTTTAAGAGCAGATTTGTCGACGACGATAATGATGGTGCTGGCCGCGCTGGTTTTCCTGTAACGGCCGTTGCTGCTGCTGTTTCTGACCATTTTGCGCATAATGCTGGAAATGTTGTTGTTGCTTTTGCTACTGCTTTTAATGTTGGTGTGGTTGCAGTCACCATTGCCATCGTCCTGCCTGATTTAAGCATAACTGTTGCTGTGTCTAATTGCGCGGCGCAGCGCTTGGTAGCCGTCGCTGACTTTGCCGTTGTGGATCTCCATGAACTGGCTGCACCGATGGTTTTAATAGATGTTGCTGCCGATGCTGCTGCTGTGGTCGCTTGTGGCGCTCCCAGCTGATTTGTACTACTGTTGTTGCTGCTCATGATAACCATTTTTATGTGGTTCGCTTTTAGACTTGAATCTGGATTTTATTCCTGCACTTTTCACTTTGTATATCTGTATGTATTTGTTCGTGTGACCAGCAGAAGTCAACCAAAATGATTTTATTATTTTATACTTAATTTTCTTTCACAGCTGCTGTTTCGACTAACGCTGTTGCTGCGCAAATTACAATATTTCTGCTTCTTCTAGCTAAACTCACTGCACTTCACTTGTTGTTTTTACTTTGCACTTTTAATTTATTTTCTTCATAGAAAATTATTTGCACTGCAAATCTATGCACACACTTGTTTAGACAATATAAAATTAAATATTGCAAATGCGCTATTTACATATGTACATACATATGTATGTATTTATGTATGAATTTTCGATGTTCTTTCACACGTTCATATTATGACTGCTGAACGCCGGATATTATGGCCGAGTTGATTTTGCGCTCCTTTAGCACTGATTTCACGCAACGAAAATGAATGAACGAGGTAAGTATGCGCGCTATAATTGGCGCAAATGAGTAAAAAAAAAGTAAAAAGAAAATAATGATACAAAACAGAAATAAAAGCAGAATTGTGCGCTGCTCTCAGATGACAAAGAAACTCGCTCGAGTTCTGACGCCGTCTAACAACTGACTGACTGGCTGATTGGCTGCCTGATCTGACGGACGCTATGATACACTTGGTTGCGTATCGGGCGCGAATGACAAGCTACTTGCGCGCTTGTTGTTGTTGATGTTTTTTGTTTGGTGTACTTGTTGTTGTTAACTGGTTAGCGTGTGTGTGTGTGTGTGGAGCGAGCAAACGCTTAAAGATTAGATAACACACCTCTGCCGTTTAATATAAATTATTAATGTTTTTGCTTTATTTTTGCTTTGCACGTTATTATGCGCTTTCGGACTTCTCTTTGACTGTGACTTCCTTGTGCAGGCTATGCGCGGGCTTGCCGCCGTACCAGGCTTACCAACTTCTGCGCGGTCAACAATTTATCAATGAATTTCTAAAGCTCGACAATTGTCGTATGTGTAGGCGCGTTCGTCTGTTGGCCTACTTGATTTTTATTTTCAAAATTTCAATATTTCTTTTAATAAACTGTTTATCTGCTGGCGCCTGCTATGTTCACTGCTTTCTTCGCGACGTCTTGCCGTCGCGGTTTTGCCGTTTTGCAAGTAGGAAAATTTGTGTTTTGCCCCTTCCACGGGTTTCCGCTGTTCGTTTCCTCGCGCTCTAGCGCTCATATAATATTTTTACACACTTTATTTTAAAATATTTTCTTAAGTGAAGCACAGTTTATTTATTGTTAATGTTACTGTTAGTTCGCCTTAGCTGTTTTTTTTTTTTTGGTCTGACTCGTTGCACTTTAGCTGGGGAATAATTGTAGAAAAACAAATTAGTATGTTTCGAACGGGCTGTGAGAAAATACTCGGTGACTGTGGAAGCTTCTTGGTACGCTTGTGGCCAACGTTCAAACAATGAGAAGGACAAGCGCTACTAAGAGCCCACAACCCGAAAATTTCCAGTGTTGAAAAAATTTAGATTTTCTGAAACTGGAAAAGGTATTTTATTTTCTTAAAAAATGGCAGACAAATAAGCGCTACTAATGTTTCGTTAACAGTTCAGGAAAACCAAACAATAGAATTCGCAATAATTTAGAGTTGAGCCTCTTCTGAAATGACTGCGATTTTCAATGTCGTGCGCTGTGTGGTCGTCACTTTGATTTTTTTTTTTTTTTTTTTTTTTTGAATTTTTAATTTCTTAAAAATTTTGAAAATCGACAAAAATTGGTTAATCACGCGATTATTACTCGACAGTTAGTAATTGCTGTGCGGCGCCGTATTAGTAATTTTTCACTTCACAGCTGTTGTTGTGCACGCGGAAAATTTCAAAATTGCCAAGGAAAACTCGAAACCGACGCGTCACTTAATTTTTATCAAAAAAAAAAAACAAAAAACAAAAAAACAATGTAATTTTGCAACGTGCCTACGATTCGTCTTAAAAACGCTTGTTATTTTTATTACCAATCCGTTTATTAATTGTTGCAATTTAATTGTATTCAATGATGAGACGTTATCTGTTGGTTCGATCGTATTGTGCTATGTTTCTTTGCGAACGTTTCGAAAAATAATGTCCACACACGGTATCCGTCGTTGAATAAATAAACCCCTTAGCGTACGCGCACTAATGAAAAATTACAAAAGTTTTTTCTCGTATTCGTTGCTTGTCTGTCGACTGGCTGACTGTTAGCTGCGTGGTTGTGTCTGTTCGCTAAACGCGCTCGATCGCGGTCGGTATGTGCCCACTCTGCTTGAAAGCAAGCAAGATATTAAGATACACTACTACGAGTTCGTTCAGATACACGACGATGGTGTGCTGTTCGTCTGCTCTTCGCTTGCTCTACATGGCGTTGCGACGCCCTGTTCGTCGCTTACTTAGCTCTGCTAAACGTCGCAGTGAGTTGGCGCTCACCAATCTCCAATGTACGCTCATACATTCATGCTTGCGAATGTAAATGAAGTTGTATGTGACAGCGTGCGCTCTGTATGCAAACATTTGAATTTGCAGACAGACGGCTTGACCGTAGTGACTACAACGTATCCACTAATTCGGCTGTTTGGCGCTGAGCTCGTATGGCTGCTCGTCTTTTTAACGGCACAGTTGCATACATATGTACATATTTGCATGCATACATATATGCATGAGTACGCTTGCCTCTTTGAAATGTTAATGAATACCATTGCAGTTGCTTCTGCTGCCGCTTTTGTTGTTGCTGGTGTTGGTGTTGCATGATGGCTTTAAGCAGTAGCTACTGCATTGAGCAGCCACTTCCTTTGCCAGCGAATGACGTTGGACGCTCACATCGGCTATACACCGGTGTCCACATCGTTTGTCGCGTTGATTGTCGTAAACAACTACGTTATGATGATCGCATTATTGCAACCACTTATGTACCACGAACCCTCTAGATAAACGAGCAGTTCGGTGGCGCTCGTGCTGATTGTACTCGCGCTCTCGTTCACTTTTTGCATTGCACACCGCAAGCCAACCAAAAAGCGAATGTGGCGAATGAGCAAGAAGAGAAGATCCAATAATGAACCCCAGTTGTAGTGTTGCCAACGAGCGAACTAAATTTTTCAAGTAGAAGTGGGTGAGCTAATGTTTGCGTTGAGAAATCAATTTTAATAGTTAGGTAGACGGTTGCATCCGTCGGGCCGGTGTGGTTTTCAATCAATAAGTTTGTGAAAGACCTAAACTTGAAAGTATGTACATATATATGTATGTATGTTTGTTTGGAGGCCGTATTAGCCGAGCAGTTACCGGTTACCAGTACTGCAATTCGAAAGGCCAGGTTTCGAATCCAAGCCGATTAATATACAAAAATTTTAGAAAATTAATTGTAATAAAAAACGAAGTCAATAAATCAAATCGCGGTGGCCCCTCGTCAGGAAAGGTCAAGCCCTCTAAGTGTATTTTTGGCAACCATAAAAGCTTTTCATAAAAAAACCAGCAGCATTTCGGATGCTTCTTTTGTTGGAAAACCGTAAAGAGAAGCTCCACTAATTGCAGAAGTGGTCAAAAATCGTTTCAGCGATTATATATGTTTATGCGACAAATTAAGTTAAGTTTTTGTAGATGCTACCTGGCAAGCAGCACACATGTTGGAATTAACTAAGGGTGACAACAAAAATAGAATTTGTCGAGAAAGTGTTGTCAAGGTGTGCTCTGGGCTGGACAGGGAAATAGGTAATGTGTAACAGACCCTTTTAGGTAGAAAAAGAGCCTCAAAGTTTTCTTCAGTTCCCTAGGACTCCCTATTTACCTATGTTAGTAAGAGCTTTGCGCTTCGTATGCGTCTTCCAACTTCTTCTGAACTTGAATAATGGTACTTACTCGTATGTATGTGTCAGAAAGAAGCGAACTGATTTAGATCGAGAATCAATTTTTTCCCAAGCTGTTGAAAATGACAGTAAAACTATGATTAAAAATATATGGTCACATTATTATTTTCTGTAACTTATTAAAAGTTATAATAAAAACCGTAATATTTTAAAAACAAACAATAATAATACAAATTAATTTCCTATTCAATTGAATAAGTTCTGCGCTGTTACGTTTCTTTACTTTCTCTCATGCTCTCTCTCGCTGCTTACATTATCAACCTCAGCGTTAAGCTCTTCTCTGTTAATTCACATAACCAGCCACTAACTTGGCCAAGAGCATTTTAGTGTTCGGCAGAGCTGTCACGCAGCAGCCACAGCCAACGTCGCTGTCGCTGTTACTAGCGTAACAGTAATGTTTTGCAACATTTTGAACACAAAGCATCATGTTACTTGGAAGCATGTTTTTGAGCTAAGCGCTGGTCTCAACCGGGGGCTGGAAATGGATGCGTGCTTTGTCCAGATGAATTCTTTAACAGGCTTCTATTATAATTCAAACTTATACAATTGTTTTTCGGCAAGGGGAGTTTACCGTTAATTCGAATTGTATTCAAATTCTCGCAATTTCAAGGTAAAACGGTTTTGCTGTCGGGAACGGCGAATGGTATCACCTCGCTCTTTTTGACTATCGACTTTGAGTTCGTTTGAGACCCCTCATCATTATCAGCATCTTTAGGATGATAGCTGACGGCATTATTATCACTGCCGAACAATCAGCGCAATGTATATATGTATATACATACATACATACAACCATCGAAATGTATATACAATCTGCAGCCCCAACCACGACGACATTTTTTAATTGCACCACCAATTAATTTGCATGTAAACACAAATTGAACCCAGCAAAAGCAACTGCAGCTGATCTAGAAAGACGCGCGAGCAGTAAAAGCAGAAAAACTGAAGACGGGGGGTGTATGCCGGTGAGCAACAACAAACACAGACGAAAGCATCATCACCAAGAAATATGTATGTGTGATAGGCACAACAAGAAAACAACTCACAGTGCTGCCAAGTTTTCAGTTTTCTCTGGAAATTATAATTTCCAAACTATCTGTTTTAAACAAAACAACTTCTGGTAGAGAAGAAGGGGGTGAGGCCATCGTGTGATCTAGATTAATCAATATGGTTCCAGGGAAAGCTTCATGAGATTTTTAAATTCTTTTAAATTAGAAAAATAATTCTCCCCAGGTAGAGATAGGTTCAGGCTTTTCGGAAGCCGCAGAGATTCGATAATTTTTCACTTGGTCGAACGAAGCTTATATTGTATATCTAACACCTTGTTCGGGCTGAAATCGAAAACTTGTTCTCGCTTCTGTAAAATCTGTCAAACAAAAATACATTAAAAGCCAAGTTTCGATGAAAATCACTTGAAAACTCACGCCACTTGGTGTCTGCACTAGTTTGTTCAACATTTTAGTCCCTGTTGAAGATACGGTTTGTCGTCTCAAAGATCGGCAGCTGGGACAAGATGGCCCATTCTCCTTGATAAACTTTTGGCGTAGTGAAATTATTGCTTTTGTCAGGTCTCATGGGCACATCACAAAAAATTTACCTACTGATATTTAGTTTTCCAATTTTCTGTACGTGCCCAAAATGCTCCAAATATTTCAAAGTAAAAAATTTACGAATTGACGTTTCGATTGGCTTCCAACCAACAATAGTTTTATCGAAATTATATTAGCTTTTATTAATATTATTATGTGTTTTTTTCTTCAATTCCAACTCCTAAAGAAGTAAATTAGCATGTTCAGCTATGGCTCTGAAAATAAAGCTGTCAGATAAGTCAACCAAAACACAAGTTGTACCATTCTAGTGGATAATGATATTGGCACATGCACCCCTTACGCGATTATAAGCGAATCAATATCAATATCCATAGTTTGGATTACCAAAAACACAAAAAATTTGTGGGATCTTTTGAGCCATACACTAATACGAATAAAAAAATAAATACTTAAATTTTTGATAAATTGGCTTGTATTCGAAAAATGTGCTCCTCTCGACGGAAAGTTTCGCTTCCTTCATTCGATTTCTCTGAAATATATTACTGTTATGAGGAAAGCCTATTTAGGGTTCCAAAAGTTCACTGTACGATATTTATTTTGCATGCGACCTTCAAAATAACATTATGTATCATATGTTATTGATTAGCATAAAGAACAACAAAACAAAAAAATCAATTTGTGTTTCTCAACCAGTTTAGATAGAAGTCTATTAAACAGTACTCAACCTGACTTTTAGTGTTGCAAAATAAAAAAGTGGTACCGCTTTCAAGGATCCACTGGAAAATCTCTGAGGAAATTCTCCTTAAACTTCATACTCTTGGTGAAACTTCAGTCGAACTTCGCAACTCAGTAAATACCATTTATAATTAAAGCCGTGACAAAGGTAAATAGCTTGCAGCTGAAGATGTGCACCAAAAGAATCAGAAAGAGATTGCTGATATAAAGAGAAACTGGCAAATTAATAGCCATTCTGATTTGTATAACACATGCCCTGACCACGATGTTGCTAATCATCCTCTAATCAGTTTGTTCTGTAGATTTTGGCAGGCTTCGGAAACACCCTTTCTGCAACCCAAACGAATTTTCAAATACCATTCGTGTTGGAGACTGTATTTTGTTCAGTTTCCTCTGACTTTGGGTAAAAATTACCTAATCTTTAAAAGGTGACACCAGCCGAGAGGAGCACTTGGAATTCGTCATCATGTTGCGCACGGCGGCGGATGGAGTAATTCCGGTCTTCTTCAATACTCTGCTTCACAGCAGCAATAGAGTCTTAGGTGGGCTATGTACGACGTCTCGGAGGAAGCGTATTATCCGCTGGAGTAAACGTGATGTGAATCCGTTCCTTGACACGAACTGCAAAAATATTTGGGAATTTATAGTTGCCTGAAAATAACCCGGCAACACTCAAACCCACAACCGATGCTCTCGATTAGCGAGTTACAACGAAGCACACAACGAGCAATTCGGCCACAACTGTTTGTGTTGCATTTGGTTTCTTTTCATTGTTGCTGCGCTTGTTTGACTTATTTGTGGCTTTTGACAATTATGAGTGTTCCCTTATCTGTATGTTCACGTTTGTGCGTACATAACCACACACTTGTGAAATGTGGCACGTACCCGCGCCTTCGTTGTTGCTGTCCAACTAACCAACTTGAAGTTAGCAGTGGCCCAACACAGTTGCATGTTGTCAATTGACTAATTTGCCGCAAAGGCCCCACCGAACAACCGACCGAGTTGCTAGAAATAAAAGCTAAAGCAAGTGAGAAAGTAACAGGCACCAAGTAAGAATCGTCTACGTAGAACTAGTAAAGATAGTCGCAAATGTTGTTGCAGATGGAGTCGACTCAGAGCACACTGTTGTTGACCATTATTACACCTTCCATCAATGCTCGCGACTCGTTGCGAGACACCTTCACTCCTGTCCATCCAACTACTACAATTCTCTTTTTATACACTCGTACATACATACAAACTTGTTTAGATGCATAGGTGTATGTTTGTATTTAAACTATTTCCTAAACTAGTTTTACACTGGTCTTAACTTCCATTTGGCGGCAACGATAACCGAGTGATTAGCATTGCGTACTGGCATTCAGAAGGCGACAACATCCAAAAAGTTATGGAAAATTAAATAAAATTAAATAAAAAATAAGTAAAATTTTGTAAATACGGTCGCTCCTCGGCAGGGAATGTCCATCCCTCCGAGTGTATTTGGGACAGGAAACAAAGGGTCCTCGTAAAAAATCCTCAGAGCCGTTCGGAGGCGGCTTAGTAAAGGCTGTAGGTCCCTCCATTTGAATATACATATATATATAATATAATAAACATATATATACATATATATATCATATATATATATATATATGTATATATAATTAACTAGTTTTACACTGGTCTTAACTCCTCGCTGCACGTACAAACGTTTGACGAAATCCCATTTATATCGTTAACACCATTGCTCGGAAATTATTTTTTACAAATTACGAAGATTCAGTTT